GGAATGATACATGTGAAATTCAGGGAATCATATTAAAATCTTTTAACATGCTGTAAAGCAGACATAAAATAATTTTATTAAAATATTGTATAGTTTCTTATGTTTTCTATCCGCTTTTGGATAGCTCTTGAGCTCTTCGCTCAGTGTATTTGCAAATTGAATTTTAGCATTCCAATGTGTCTGTACGCTGTGACAGCTATGTGTCTTCTATGTCAAAACTAATAAATAAATAAATAAATAAACTAATAAATCATTAATTTAGCTTGCTTAGCGACTTGATTTATTAGTTTAGTTCTTTAAAAGACATTTAATACCTTGAACACGTTCCACAAGTCCAGAAAAATATTGGGAAATCTACTTACTTAATGCAAAAAAAAAAAAAAAAAAAAAAAAAAAAAAAAAAAAAAAAAAAACATGATTATGTTTTGTAATTTTGTGGTAAGAAATATCCAATAAATATGTAACTTTGTTCGGGATCTGCGAAGATAAGCATATAAACGTATTGTGAACTCCATAGATTTGAATAGCTTATTAGATTTGCGTTAATGTTTATTAAGACTTGGGATATGCCGCTCCCCTATTGAGCATATACAAACAAATCTCTAGCTCTCATATCTTCTGAGATCGACGCGCTGAAACATAAGGACAGACGGGCAGTCGACAGATAGACAGACAGGGTTTAAACGACTCAGTTTGTCGCTCTGGTCAAGAATATATGTATATACTTTATGTTACACACATTTAATTTTGTCCACTTTCAAGTTTAAGTTAAGTTTGATAATTAACGATATCGATAGTGATGACAAAGAAAATTTTTAAAGAATATGTAAGATATTTTCTCAAAGGACTGTTGATAGAAGGCTTACAAGTCATTCACCCTCTGTTATAGAATTCCCATTTCGGAACTTAATTGTGAGGCCCATATGATGAGTTACTGAATATGTTTATTGCTTTCGCTCTATAGTCATATTTAATTGCTATTCCCATTTGAAATTAATTGGCTTAATTGATTTTATTTTAGCACTAGCATTTCACAGGGGATGCAATCACCAGGGAATACATTGTGAAAGAGCTGATATATGTATACATAGATAAATAATATCTATAAAAATATAAAGCCGGTTCAATTCCCTGGGCTACCTTTTAGACAATTGCAAAACAGACAGAGAAAAGGTCAGGGGTCTTTTACAAGTCAATAATAATGTGCGATTGGCTCATCATAGAAACGGGAATCTCAGTCACCACTAATTATCACTATTAAAAAGCTAATTACAAAATGAAATCTATCATAATATTCGAACATACATATGTGTGCTTCCTCCTTTCAGATTAGTCGCATTCCTATGTAGTCCGAGAGTTCGTTAATTGCAATACAATGGCAAATTATATATGTATATTGTCGTAAGTCACATCTATGATACAAAACATTGATCGATCTGTTTAATAACTCTACCTATTCTGCTTTCTAGTATTTGCCTAGTTTTTGCAGCCTTAACGCAATTTATCGTTGCGGACACATCAACGTTAGAACGAATTAAGGTAAGTTTGTTTGTTACCCTTTTATTTAGGTAGGGACGGTTTTGATAATAATTAATATCACTGACAAAGGGCGTGGTAACCAAACCTCGAAGCAAAATCAGGATAACAAACCGATTTCTGCCTGCCTATCTATTTTATTTAATGCGACCATCTAGTATGAAAAAGGATAGACGATTGCATTTAAATGTATATAGATAAATATTATTATTATTATTTGTATAATTTTTTAAATGTCTGAGTGTCCCACTTTTTACGTAATTTTGATTCAAGGTTGATAAAAGAAATATAGCTAATTTAGTTAGTTCTGGCACATTCTCACATTTCTTCCAGTGCAGTCGCTGCATTCAATAAATCATAAAACAATCATAGACCATTATAAATGAGATCTACCTAAGGTGCCAGGTATCCACTATTCGAGCATGCTCGAGTAGTTAACTTCCACTTGCATATACCTGTAGTATACGCTATTGTGCAAGCTATTCTATGAATCAATACCCATACCATACCATATATTACAGAAACATCAAGAATGGCTAAATCGGCATAAACTCAGAGCGGAAAAAGTCAAGTATACGAAATGGAAATCATCTTTTGAGCCAGCTAAACTGTGGCGCATAAACAAAGAACCTTCAAATCAGAATTCAAGCATCAACGAGGTATTCACGGAAAACGAAACCAGCTCTATCAATAGCAATGTGATTGGGGATGCCAACATCGACGTGTTGCCCACCATCTTAACCCAAACGCCTCACCTAAGCAGCCTCGACTCTCATGAAGTATTAAATAAAACTAAATCAACTGAAATATCGAAAATATGGACGACTGTAGCGCCTACTTTGGCAACAAAATCCTTGATAGCCGACGAACCCGACGTTTTGACAACGGCACTGACACTGCCAAAATTGAAAGATGTTCCTTCAACAGCCTCAACTACCACGACTACGACCTCCAGAAAACCCAAGCCCAAGCTTAGACCCTTTCCTCGCTGGACCAATTGGAATCCATGGAGCGAGTGCTCGCGCAGCTGTGGAGGCGGCGTTATGTACCAGACTCGCAAGTGCATTGATCGGTAAGTGTTTCACATATATTTGCAGATATATCAGATCAAATTACTGATCACAATTTGAAATTAGACTGTACCTTGGTCTCCCTCCGTTGGCAGAACTAAAACTTGAAACAAATGATCGATGAATTTATTAGATGATTATGATTCGATTAAAGTTATTATGCTTTAGTATTTATTAAACTTTAGTATTTATTTAAAGATAGAGTAATGAATTAAGTAAAACCTGCATTACATACGAAATGTAAAAATTGGAAATCTTTTCCGTTTTCTATTCAGTTTCTTTGAGCACAGAACAATTAAATTAGGTCGCCAGAAGTTGAGCTTAAAATTAACATTTTTCGCTCATTGTACGTTTATTCATAGTGTTTTTTATCATTGCGGTTTTGCTTAAAAAGTTTATAGAATAAATTAGTTTGTATTCAAATGAAAATTAATATCTTCACAGTGTTTGTTCAAGCATGAATTTTTTTTTACAAATGTTATTACTATATATATTGTTTTTTAGTTAATAAATTAATCAAGGTTTGTATCTCTTCTTCTTCTGCGATTGTATATATTTTTGGATATTGGATTTATTCTTTTCATTATATTAATTTCAATTTGTAATAGCTTTACAGTTATACGAGTACTATTTTCAGTGTATTATCACCACCCATGATTCTTTTCGCTTTTATTATTTTTGATGAATGTTTTTATTGACAATTTCTCTAGGTGTATATTGTTATTAGAATCATTCGAGCAACTCATTTTTAATGTTATCGAGTGTATATCATTTTCGGTGCAGCACGAAGAGATTCGTTCTTTGATTAGCAATTCAAATTTTATGGCGTCTTTATTAATGCTCGATCAAAATGACCTCTAATAGCTGAACATAAGGTAAATCGGATAATTAAAAGATATTTCGGAGGCCTGTCACGTGCCAGAGATTGTGCTATCCAGATCTGCGTGCGATTTGAAACGTTCTCCAAAGACAATGATGTTATTATGTAACCAATTACAATATTGCACTTGTCTACATAGGCATGTATATATCTACATATACCTATACCTATTTAGAGGTACATATGTTTATATACAGACATAGGTATGTAAAGAGATATGTGTATGTATAAACGTCGACTTTTGCTTGTAAATGGAAGTACTTGAAGCTACTTCCAGGTTGAAGTGAAGTATTACTTCGGAGAGTAATCGTCTGTTGATTCTTAGTCATCCCTTTTGAACCAAAAACTGGTTTCTAGCTAAAGCTTTGGGGATTTTTTGTGGTTCAGCTTTGTATGCGTCTAGCGTCATTTTGGCTGAAAAGTAATTCATGCTAATTGTTTTGTCAACATTTAAGAGATATATATATGCCGAATATGGTGTGAGTCGTTGCATAGACACTGGTGATATTACTCTATTGTCGTATATTTTTGCATATATTGCAAATATCTGAAATCGATTTTATTTTCTTTTGCTTTCATTTATTATTCTTTCTTTGTTTAATATTCCGTGCGGAGTGCCGGCACTTTGAGTGCTGTCCAGGGTATCTTGTGGTTGGGCAGAGCTGCTTTGCGCTTTAGTTTCGGTTGTATTTTTCCATCTCATGTACATAAATAATCAATTTTGTGTTGTTTTTTCTTTTCGATTTTTATTTAGCCAAGTCTTAAATAGTTAATTATTGACTTAACTAATCCACTTTGTGAGCAAACATTAATTCCGTTCGACGTGGCTCGTAAATTCAAGAAATTCAAACTAAAAATAAAAATTAAAATAAAAGAAAAACAAGAGAATCGTATCACGGAAACCTGTATATGGTATACATTTTTTTTTTAGATATATAGAAATTGTATATATTTGCCGTTATTTAAAATATGTCTTCGCTGTTCCCTTGATCGGGGGAATCACTGAATATTTAAACAATGGCCTAATACATATTCTTGAATATCATATTTAGAATCTATGCCTGATATCAGCGGGTATTCCAACTCAGCTGAGTATCTATGATAATGCCCAACATGCATTTGAATATCTGATGTACATTTCACTACAGGGTATCTGCCAGTCATGCTATCTTGATCACGTCTCGGCTGTATGTCTCTCTCGATATCTTGGACTTGTTTTCAGCTAAAGAGAAATCCCAACAAGTTGAGAAAAGCAATAACAACAAGGCTCGAACTGAACAATGCCAGACTTTGTACGCTTGTTTTGATGACCGACTAAAAAAAAATAATAATAAAAAAAACCCCAACGCTGAGAACAGATTTTTGCTATAAATACGAGATGTGAGTTTTAAAAAGCCTGAGTTTCCGGCAATCAACGCATTGGAGCTGTTGTGCATTTAACACTTTTATATCAGAATGTCCAGACTACTGACCATTTGCCTTCTGTCTCTGGCACTCGCTGTGCAGGTAGGTCTAGCAGAATGAGAGCGCGACTGTCCACAGAGGTGTAATGCCGAGGCCTATTTCTAGTGTGTGCTGTCGGAGAATCCTGCCGAGGGCTTGAACATCCATATTCGCGGACAGCTGCAGCAATATGAGAAGTACCTCGCCAACGACGATGGCTCCCACAAGGAGGATCTGCAGAAGCTGATCGGCATCTACGAGACCGCCCTGAAGACCGAGGACTTCAACGCCAAGCAGGCTCTGGTGAACGAAGTGCCGTCGAAGTTCTCCGCAGAGTTCGGCCAATTCGTGCAATCGAAATTGCAGGAAGATCAGATCAATGAGGATATTTCGGGTGCCATCAGCTTCTACAAGTCGCTCTTGGCCAAGGGTGAGTTCAAGGCTGACATTGAGAAGGCTTTGGTCGAGCTCGAGAGCCTGCAGAAGCAAACCCAATTCGAGGCTAAGAGGGATGGTTTCCTGAACCTGGAGAAGGGCTTCAGTCCCGAATTTGTGAACTTCCTTAAGAGCGACGCTCTGCCCCAGATCAACAAGGATTTAAAGAGCGGCGTTGAGTTCTTCGAGAAGGTTTTGGCCGAGTCTGATGTGAAGTATGCCACCGAGATTAAGGGCCTGAAGGCTCAAGCTGAAGCAGCTCTGGCCGATTCCGTCCCCATCGACGATAAGCAGAAGACACTCTACGAAATCAGAAATCCTGCTAACGCTGATCTGATCGAATACCTCAAAGCGAAATTCGCTGAACTGAATTAAGAATTAAATTTCTCTCTCATCTTTAAAAAGCATTGAAATTTTGTAAGCTGGAGCTTAATTTTCATTTTAATTAAATAAAATTTAAAAAAAAAAAACAAAGCTTTTTATTAGTTTATTTTAATTATGTTAGGTAGTATTTCTGTTGGGCTTGGCCAATAGTTGCAAGACTTCTAGAAAAGTTCTTCATAACTGGTTTATAAATAATTCTTATTGCTTATAATTGAGTCAAGGCTATTCAAAAATCTGGAAGCCGAGATAATGAGATAATATTATCATAATCTTGTATATATATTATTGTTTTATACATATGCATTTTATTGTTTTATTTTATCTACTTTAAGCTGGTTGGTTTTCAGAATGTTGAACAAAAAAATCTTCAAATCTTAATTGCTTCTGATATTTTAGTTTTATGGATAATTAATATTATATATTTCAGTGTAGATTTTCTAATCAGAATAGAGTTTTTGATTGGGCGAAGTACTCCATTATGTAAGGAGAATATATTTATGTTTTAAAATGTGAATTTTATAAATAATAAAATAAATAAATAAATTCCCAGATCTTTGCTTTCATGTAAACCTAGTAACAGATGTACAGAAAGTTTTGTTAATTAATAACAATATATGTATGTACATACATTATATAATGTACTAAATGTTAGACAAATTATGTACATATAGATAAGCTCATTATTAAAAAAAAATTTTTTTTAAATAGTAAAATATAAATATGTAAGTTTTTGATTTTAAGCTTAGAAGCACGTTTGAGATGGAAGAAGAATAAAGTAAACAAAACTATTCAACAATAGTCTAGATTCATATTTGTATATTTTCATTTACACAGTATTCTGGGGTGGAATTGATGAATTATTAAATTAAATTAAATAACTGAATTAAATTAAATAACTGAACTGTGTCCCGTAGTTCTGCTTTGATCAATTCGATTTTTATTTGGTATGTGTTTTACTATATTTATGAATCCCACTATATATACCTTGTATACCGGTTACATAGTCTTACACAAAATCTGTATACCTTCCACATTCGCTTTTAAAGCGTAAACTGACACGCTTTAAAAGTGGACAAACCAAATAGTAGTGTAGACTGAGATTATAATAATGTCTTAATAGACGTTGCTGGGGACTTTAAAAGCTGCGCTATTAAAATAATTAATGTTTTATCTCACACTTTATATTTTTCAGAAATTCTACGACGAGTAGAGTATATATGAGTGATACTTGTGTAGGTCTCTCGAAACGCTATCAGTTATGCAATGACCTTCCCTGTCCCGCGGAATCAATGGATATTCGTGCATATCAATGTGCTGCATACAATAAAGTTGACTTTCAGGGTCGCCAATACAACTGGGAGCCCTACATCAAAGGTAGGGAATACACACTCACTTACAATACGTGTATACATGTAGGGAATCTGTCTGTAATTGAGTTTCGCTTTCTTTATCAGACGATGCCGAGTGCGAGCTGAACTGCAAGCCATTGGGCATGAAATACTTCGCGACACTCAATGATACGGTTATTGATGGCACCCCCTGCCAGAGGTCCGCTGAATATTATCGCTCCAATCGGTCCACTCCACTGGGTCGGGCAATATGTGTCGACGGCATTTGCAAGGTGAATGTTAATACCACTCGGTCGCATAATAAAATAACAATAACAATTATAACTGATTGCAGATAAAACACTCTATCAGCTCGCACAGTAGTTCCATTAATTAACAACTAGTCACAATTTATGCTCGTTCCATTAATCTCTTAGCTGTATTTCCAATTTATTAAGGCCATGTTAATGCAAATGAGTACACGACTCTGATTAGATATTCGTAGCAGTCTCAATTACAATGAATACCTGCTCTTCTTCATTATACGTATTACCCACGAATAGCTCAGCTTCTTGCTGGAGTGTACAAAGAAAAAGCGAGAGCTTATTTCTCTATGTGTGTCTCTGTGTGTATCACTCAGATACCAAGAGCTATCCATAAACAGCAAGCTGTCGGGTAGAGGCGGCTTTGTCATGCTCGTCCCCTTTCAATAAAAATATCACTGCATATGCCTGTCTGTAGAGATTTACGTGTGGAGAAGTTATCTGCCTTGGTTATATTCCTATGGGTGTGGCATATCAGATGTATATCTATATAAATGTAATATATTGCAATATGTGTATCAGATTCTTTATATCAAAGGCTGTACATACAATTGCATATATCAGGTTCTATATATTGGATACATCAGATTTTTTATATCAAACACTGTATGTTAGATTTTATAAATCACATTGTATATATCAGGTTGTATATATTGTCCTGCATGTGTAGGTAATATTGATTTGATTCAGACTTTAAATAGTTTTAAGGTTCTATATATCCATATACTGTATGCGTGGCTAATCAGATTCCATATATATGAATTTCAATATTATATGATATGAATGATTTTTGTCAAAAGAGCTATAAGCTTGGTTAAACAATCCACTTACTCTAATAGCTATAACTATATAATCATTTACACTAAACATCATGATCATAATAATCATTTCAATTTGAGTCTGGAATGGGCCAGCTATTTATTTCGCATTAAAAGCATCGTTTAATATTGAATATATTTAGTAATTAGCATTTGCCACACCCCCACGGGTTCTAGATCTAGGAACTCAATCAGATGTGATTTCACACTATCACAATAAAAGAATTTAACAAGCTAATTATAAATTGCATACACCGATATACTCTCCTCGCTGCGTGAGCGGGCAAAAAGCGTTTGTCGATTGTGGCTGTGGTGCACACACACTTCGAGTTATGAAAAACTCTTTAGAAATAAATGAATCGCCTTACCGAATATTTTAGTAAGCGGCGCGAATCGAAGCACGCAACACATGCGTATTCGTATCTATAAGAATCGCGCATCGTTTAATCGTTTAAGAACAATCAAAGGAAATCAAAAACCAGTTAAACAATTCAACTCAAAGAAAAAAATAAATAAATAAATAACAATCAAAAATTTATAAAAACCGATCTGAAATCTAATACAGTTCTAAACTAATTTGTAAATAATAATGTTATCCTAATTGAATAACCATGTCAGTTAAATTAGTTGACTTTAAGTGTTGTAAATACGCAAATAATAGAGAAAGCAATTCAAGCAAATATTAGATCAACTAATTTTTTATAAGGACATTTGTCGATTATTTTAAATATTTGTATACATATATACAAAATATAAATATATACATATATAAAAATTGATTTAGCAAGTTGCAAATTTTTCACAAATTAATATTTAGATTATTTCTTTAGTGTTTTCTAAATATGTTATTAATAAATAATAAAAAAATAAAATATAATAATAAATAAATAATAAAAAATCCATATATCATTAATTAAGAAACATTATTTTCTTTAATATATATATGTATATTTTGTTTTCCCAAACTTAATAAGGAAAGTGAATATTCTCAATATTTGTTCTAAAGTTTCCCATAGATGTTTTCACATTTCTTATAAATCAATTGTAAAGCTTGGTATAATTTTTAAAATTTATTGAAATAGTATATATTGAATTCTTAAGTGTCATTCAATCTCTTTTTTTTGAAGTTCATTCAGCTTTTGAGATATCTGTCAAAATCGCTAATTTATTACAATTTTACCGCAAAAACTCACAGAAATTAAATAAAAACTTATTTGTTTTGGCAATTTGTGCGAAACACTTGAGACTTACACTTGAATACATTGGACTGCCATAGCTATATGTACTATATGCATTTACGCAATGTTCTAATATACTTAAATGGTTTTCGAATTCTTTAATTAGATCCATTTGCCGCTTTCTCGAAAATTCAGCCTATTATTTAATTGAAATTCAAACCTACGTCAGAATTAGTTTTTTCTTAATTGTGGCCAGATCGAAAATAATATATTTAGATACATAAATATATATACATATATATTGCTTTTGTTTTCAAGCTTTATCTTATCTATATGGAACTTTTAGTTTTATAGCTATTGTAATGTCCTCTCTTTCTCTTCTCTTTTAGCTAAAACTATTTGAAAATACTTGTGTATATCTAATATTTGAAAAAAAAACATTTAAGTTTGAACTTGATAGGCACAAAATATATAAATTTTGCTAATATATATGTATATATTTCGACTTTCGTAATTTCTATATTAATTTAGATGTGCTTGAAAAGTAAGCTGCTGATGAATAGAAATTGAAGCGTGCTTCAGAATCGTGAACTAAAGATATGATGTGCTGCGTGATACCCTCCACTTATGCCTATTACGTAAAATGTTTAAAATATCTAGTTATATCTAGTTTAAAAAGTGTTGTATTAAAGATAGCAGCCGCTATACACTCGCAAGTGACTCGCACCCGAACTTTTTTTTTAATCTACTCAGTTCCAGTAATGACTTTTAACATTTTCAGTCAGGGGGATTCAAAAAGAGGAAAATTAATGGAAAATAGTTTATAACTAAATTTTCTCTTTAAATAGTCTTTAAACTTAGTCTGAGATTCGAACTTCGAGTCCATGTTACTTGATTCAAATGTTTTGGTGTGTGAGCAACCTCTATATACCCTATTTCTGTCCAATATTGGGTATCTCAAAAGCACTTTAGTCTTGCGCTGGTCAGGTCGTAAACAACCAAGCGAGTCTGTGGCCAAGTGAAATGTGGCCATCGTAAACTTGCAAAAGTGCGTCAAATGCGGCTGCCGCTGCTGTTGCTGCTGCTGCTGCCTGTAGGCCATTAAAACAGAATTATCTTTTGCTTCGACACGGTGTTGTACTACACACTCGATGATAGTCGCCCGCGTGGCACTCACAGCGATCAGCAAATAGCCATCAGACATTTACGAGTTTATCACAACTTCAATATAAATGTTGGCATATATATTCAGATGTATCCACATATACATACATAAGTAGAGAGAGACACATACACACATACGTGTGCAGACACTCAAGAATTCGATATTGGTAATTCGCACTTGGAGCGGAAGTGAATATAAATTCCATTTGCACCTTCGCCCACAACAGAGCCATTTGCATATATTTATTTTCTACTCAATATTGTATTTTAAATGAATCGCCTTCGGCTGCTCTAGCTGAGAGGGTATATATGTACGTAGTAGAATTTATATAGCGGTCTGATTTATAGACCTACCCATTTCTCAATGTACCACTGTATTGTTGATTGTGTTTAATTTCATAAACTTTCTGAGCGGGTATATAATACATCTTTATAATACCAGAATTATCGTCGAACATATACTATGATCATTTAAGATAAATGTACATTTATATAATACCATAACAATACAAGAGTTTTCTGTATAACTCAATACATATTTTAATTTGCAATTAACTTTTATGGTTCTTCTGATGGAGTATACTTATTTGTATAAACAGCATAGTTTATATATGAGTGTACCTCCCAGAGTCTGAGAAAGCATTCCATTTTAAATGAACTTAAATGGTTTTTGTATTCTAATGGGTATATACATTTTGGTAGTCATTTTGTGACAACAGCGGAGTATAGATAGTATAAAGCATAGCATATACATAGTAAATATATATTAAGTAGTTGGAAATATATAGTCTGTAATACACCTATATATAGACAGATCTTCATTACGAGCCTGTGAGTAGTCTATCGTACATGATATTGTGATTCAATTAATAAATTGTATTTCTTTTTTCATCGGTTTTATCCAATTCGACAGTCTGCCTATAGCATTTATTGAATATATTGTAGAATTTATATTGAATAGTCTTTATAAATTCCGTGGCTATATTTTCGATTCGAGATGGTTTATATTTTTGTATATATCTAATATATGTATGTGTATGTTAATTAGTCTTGATTTGCCTTGCTAACATAGGGTATACACATGTACTAACCATTCTGCATTTTCTAGTCTATAACTCAGGGTTCGCCACATTATATAGCTGCTATTAGCAATTAGTTATCTAAATTATTCCCATCATCTGATATAAATGCCCATATATCTGCCGCACTTCAAAGTTAGCTGAATTCGAAATTTATAACTGAATTTATTTTACGCACATATAGTAAATACGTTTGTTTATTTAGTGCACTGACATCTAGTGTAAATCAAATAATTAAATCGCACGCATAAACAAAGAAAATATAGAACAGATCACCTTGCACACAATAATATATATAGAATACATATATATATATATATATATATATATATATATATATATATATTATTTAGTGTGCGATATGCCTTGGCTGTGGCACTTGGCGCTAACCTGGCTGGTGAGTCAATTTGGACATACATATGTCGAGAATTCCATTTCCCCCCACCTCCTCCTCTGACCCATTTGCGATCTTTGTAAACAAAGCAAAGCGCTTTGATTCGTTCAATTGAAATCAATTATACCATCTATATTTCTCTCTATATATATACATATCTCTCACATATATATACTCTCTTTTCTTTTCTTCATATTTTGTGTAATTACAGGCCGTTCTTGGCAACGGCTCCATAAAGGGCCTGTACGCTAATAGCGGTTCCGTCAGCTGCGGTGGCCTGCTTTGCCGTCCCGTCACTGGAATCTTTACACGCGATCCGTTGCCAGAGGACGCATACGTTCATGTGGCTACAATACCAGCGGGTGCCTCGAATATATCCATAACCGAACTGAAGAACAGCGCAAATTTACTTGGTGAGTTAAATACTATATTTATATATAGATTGATATACCCCGTGAATGCTGCGAAATCAATTATTATTTTATAGCATGATCGCTCCAAACATTAAAAATTTATTAAAATTAATATACACATACATCTAATGCTAAATGCCATATCCGTGCGCAATTTATAATCGAGTGCCAGATATACATGTACAGCCAGACATACTCCACACATAAGCGGACACAAAGAGTAATGACTCTATACACATATCTATAGCTTATTTTATATACGGAGATTATATGGCAATAATAATAATATGACAATGACTATATTGGCACGATATATGTATAATAATGATTTTGCAAATGCATTTATGAAGCAGTTATAGATGTAGACAGCCAAATTAACAATCAAACTAAATTTTGCAAAGACAATTATGAAAGTTCTAGTCGAGACTGCTCGACTACTATATCCCTGTAACCTCGGAGCAACTGATATATTATTATGATAGTGATGATAATTCTTTGTTTCTTCCTGCTTACACAAGAAATACACACATTCATAGACACACATACACACTCACGCATAAACATATGTACATGGGCTGTAGTGTGGGCTTACTATGGAAACTTAATTGTTTAATAACTTTTCTTGTTGATGTACTTCCTTCATGAATGCGTTTGTTTGCTAAAGCCCACGTCCCCAGTATTTGAAATACGCCTTTTACAGATTTATGGGTGAGGGTAAATTATATCAAAAATCGAAATTGTATAAAATGCATCTGAATATATGTTTAAAATTTGAAGAGTCTGGGCTTAAAGATGTAGCCGATATAATTAGATATATTTAAATGATACGTTTTTTATCGATAAAAAATGACAGGATGAGTTATCGATTTTTTGTAGATAAACTCGATATCCGCGCTGTATATATGGACATTCTAAAAAAAGTTCAAGTCTGTAGCTCTTATATCTTCTGAGATCGACGTGTTCAAACATACAGACAGACGGACGGACGGACGGACGCACAGACGGATGGGCTATATCGACTCACCGTCGCCCTGATCAAGAATATATATACTTTGTGGGGTCTGCCACACCTCCTTCTGCCTGTTACATACATTTACAAAACCAGTATACCCTGATTTCCCATTTCAGACGGGTTCAGGGCAAATTGTGTATGTCTAGAATAATTCCAACAATTTAATTCACATGTTCTTTGGCTTCATTTCAATTTCAATTTCATTTAAAGAGAAACGAAATTAACAATACTGAAACGAATGTAATATGAATTAAAGATAGATACATTTTAGATATCATAGCTTAAATATATAGTAAATGTTATATTTTCATAAATATACTATATGTATTTATATATATAAATATACATTATTGATTATTTCTCTCTTAGTTCTGCGTACAAGCGAGCAGAAGAGCATTTTCAATGGCGAGAACGAGATATCGGAGAGCGGATCATATGAGGCGGCGGGCGCATTTTTTGACTATCATCGCATCGATGGAGTGCAGCAGGGCGAGGGCGTGACCGAGTGGATCACATGCACGGGTCCCATTAGGGATCCTGTCGAGCTTCTAGTATGTCCTTCAAGAAGCCTAAGGGATATTTTTCTATAATTGACTCAATTCCACTCTGATATTCCCCATCAGGTTTACAGCAATATACTGAATCCTGGCATCAAGTACGAGTACCTGCTGCCCATCGTTTCGGACTCGGAGGAGAATGAGTTGTCGCTGGAAAGCAGCGATGGCTTCTTGAAAGCAGGGCCCGTCAGCGAGGATGGTAGTTCTGGCAGCAGTATCCGCACTGGCCGCAAGCGTAAGTTCAACTGGAAGGTGGTCGGCTTCAGCGCCTGCACCAAGTCCTGTGGCGGCGGCACCCAGTCGCCGGTAGTGCGCTGCGCCCGTGAGAACCCGGTGCGATACTACTCGCAGCGCCGTTGCAGTCACTCGGAGAGGCCAGTGCTCAACGAGAATCTGCTGCACTGCAACACACAGCCCTGTCCGGCCTACTGGCGGTTCGACGAGTGGGGCGAGTGCCGTTGCCAGCATGGGGAGGCGGTGCGCCGACGCGAACTGAGCTGCGTCCAGGAGCTGGCCTCGGGCATCGTGATACACGTGGACAAGGCCGCCTGCATGGAGGAGCAGCCGCCCAGCGAAAAGCAATGTGAATGCCCCAAGGCCCGACGTCGCAACTCCGCCCGCTATCGCATGCACCTCCATCCCGAGGGAGCCAATGGAACCCATCTCGTGCGTCATCGTGCCCCGAAAGTTGTCAGCGATGCGGTGTGGCTAATGTCCGAGTGGAATCAGTACTGTTCCTCGTCGTGCGGTCCGGGCATCCAATATCGCACCATCTTCTGCGATCGCTCCAAAACCAAGAGCGAACGGTGTGACCCCCGCGACATTCCGGAGAACCGCAGGCCCTGCCAGCAAGCGGCCTGCGAGCTGGGCGAGTGGTTCACCGGGCCCTGGTCGCCCTGTAGTGGCGATTGCTTCAATCTAACCCGCTCTCGAACGGTTCTGTGCATCAGGAATCAGCTCATCACGGACGACGAGGAGTGCAAGGCGGAGCTAAGGCCGCAGCCGCTCGAGAACTGCTCGCACGAAGAGATTGAATACTGTGCGCCTCGCTGGCACTACTCCGAATGGTCTGAGGTAAACGCAATAGGACTTCCAATTCAAGTTCCATTCGATTTTTAAACTCTTCCCTTTTCGTCGCAGTGCACCAAGAGCTGCGATGGCGGCACCCAGCGACGCACCATCAAGTGTCTGGAGTACGATGACAAGCAGAATGCTCTACGGGAGTCCGCAAGGTGCCGCTATGCATTGAGGGAACCCATCTATCGCAACTGCAATACACAGAAATGTGAAGGTATGTGATAATAAAATTGCAATTATATTATACATTCATGAACTGATCTATATATACATATTAATCTAGATCTGAATACCGAGCTGCTCCAAAACGATGAGGCATCGCCCTGCGTAGACAACTTTCCCAACTGCAAGTGGGCTGTGCAGGCCAAGCTGTGCAACTATGAATACTATAGGAACAATTGCTGCTTCTCCTGCACTCGTGCTTATTAAATCGAACACAATGTAGTTTTAATAGTTGCGAATGAATGGAAAATGAAGCAGAAAAACAGCAAGAACAAAAACAAGAAAATAACGAAAAACGTGATCTTAAAGCAATTTCTTACATATACATTCATAAATGATCATTAGTAGATACATATATGCATAACTATCAAAACTAGCCGCAAATCCTCAGTATGAATTCCAATCTGACATACGAGTGCATTTACATCTACTAACACATACCGCCTAAGTGCATAAATACGTAAACGAAACATAAACAAAGCAAGCATTTTACTAAACCTAACTCACACATGTAAGATCAATATTGACCTGAAGTTAATCAAGTGCCACACTTAAAGATATTATACGAAAATCTTCTAACTCCCATAAAGTGTCTTCAGTACTACGAATATTCGGCGAGGGCTGAACGAAAACACTGTCCAATATACACATATATTCATTCAAATAAATTAATTTTATTTCTTATATTAATTTCTTTAATCTTTCTATTATTTTCTAAAGATCATCCACATTTTGCATACGATCACATGTACATACATATATGTACTGTATGTTCTTGACAAGTTTTTAAAGAGGGTTTGGTCGCAAGGAACGTAAGCCATTTTACTCCTATCCTGATATTTCGTTTTTAATTTTATTAGCTTTTCGGATACACCCACTATAGGTATGATATACTGATATTCTCTGAGGTTAAATTGGATATATAACTGGAGAGCTGAAGATAAACAATATAATGTAATTATAACTATGCAAGCCATTAAATGAGATGTACTCCTGTATTCAAATATAATATTATATACTACATACATACGCCTTAGCAACAAGGTAAATCACAAAAATTGATATTTTTGAGATTTAACCAGCTAATTTCGCGCAAAATTTCATAGGTAGAACTCCTGTTGCATACGTGTACCTATAAAATATGTAGACTGTGGCAAAACAGTTTAGAACCGCAACTGCTCTCGATACTCAAAAATCTATTTGATCCCGATAAAAATTGTGAATCATCAGAGTTTCCTCATCCATTGTAAGCACGCCATCAATGAGTGCAAATATATAATACAACTCTACCATTTGGTACTATATACGATTATATATTTTACTGAAATCGTCTTCTATAATACTGATAATTTACCAGGCCATGGACAACTTTATAAAAATTCGATATTCTATTAACAAGCAAGCGAGCATTGTTCAAAACTGATATACTGTTTTTACTCCAAATTTTTATTTATTTACTCGGCTGACGCATTCGTCAGCTCATTAGCTGTATCTGTACAAGTATCGCAGACTTTTACTTCAAGTAATTTCTAAATTTGAGCTAAGCATGCAGAATTTTTGCAAATACAACGAAAAAAGCAAACGGTGTGCTAACTGGTTCAGTAAGGTTTGCGCCGACTGTCGGTCCCAATTCCAAAAAAACAGTGTTGGCAAACGTTTACAGAATAAAATCGTACATTCGAATGCTGAGCTAATAAGTACTGATGAGTGTTACAAGTCTATAAAGCGTAGCACCGAGAATATAACTAGGGATGGCATCCTTATTGAAGAGATCTGGTGGAAGGTGCCGTTTATACTTTTGATATTCGGTTGCATTCTATTGATATCTATAGGCTTCTGCCTGCTTTCCCAGAAGGCTGTAAGTATAATGCAGGAACGTGTGGATCAAACTGATATTGATATCTGTGAAAACAAAAAATATTATAAAGCAGAGAAGCAAAGAGCCAAGCCGGTATGCATTCAGCATTCTGATACTCAAATCAGCAATTCCAAATCTTCCTGTTCCCTAAAGTATCCAAAACCGAACCGGAGTCATTATGAATGCTCCAACTGAAAAGCTCCCTATCATCCTCTTTAACTAACATGATAATTATCGTGTTCAAGAAGTCCATTAGATATGAAATGGATTTCTGATGTTTCCATTTAAATACTCCACGCAATCACGCAATCAAATGCGGAAACAAAAAAAACTTGTGCCGACTATAAAATACCTTGTGAACAAATAAAAACACTTTATAGTAGTTTACTATATAATAGAGATTTAAATATTTTTTAAGCAATCGAAATAGTAAGTATAAATATGAGTATGCAAAATATTAAATATAGATAGATTACCAAAATACATACATTTGTTTTATTAATATCCCTGCTTGTGTGCTTGTGCTTAGAACTTTATTTTCCACCCTGTTTGTATTTTTGGTTAGTGTCGAAATACCAACAATATTTATTAAAACGAATTCAATCTGAGCTTGACGTGACTGGGTTGCACTTCGCTTTAATTGTTGCACTTTCTTTTGAGCTTTTGAAAAGGTAAAACTTATTTCACGATGATATTAAGTTTTATAAAACTATACTTTGATACTTGTTGTATCCATGGCTTCCGATACTTGGTGAAAAGCGTGTTAATCCTGCTGGAGAGGTAGATACTGGTGTACGCGTAATAATAGATGTCAAACTAATGTATAACTCCATAGGATATTTTGGCTTCTACTGCTGATTGTCTCAGTATATTTTTGCATTATCTCTTGCATATCCTCTGTGGAACGCTTTCATACGAAAAGCACACACATTGGATTAGAGCGGAACTCCTATTACTGGAACACATCGATGCCTGGCCTCACAATGTAATTTATCTATATTTAACAGATATTTTTTGTTTAATTGCACTTCTGTTACACTTACTGGTGACGTAATTAAGCTGTACTCAATAGAATTTTATATAACTATATTTTAGAACTAGCTTCAGACATACTTATTATATATATTCTAGATGTCCGATGCAACGCTTGAATCAGTCGCTTTTTAACAATTATTGTCGGTGAGATTGGACTGATTATTTATCAAAAACCCACTAATAATTATTTGTAACAATATTCAAGCGCCAATAAGATAAAGGGAACCGACAAAACTGAATTTTGGGATTTCCTAGAAAATCTAGCCAATTCCACATATACGAATTTTGAGAATATACCAGATTACGAAAGCATTGATCACACCCTCGATCTGCTGGGCATCAAGCCCAAGCATTATATGGAACTGATTTACAATTTGACATTTGACGGCACCTATGAGCCCATAGAGAAACTTCGTATCCGCTGTGTGGATGGCCAGCTACACCTGAAGACCCGACAGATCCTTACCGAGTTTGGCCTCTGTTACCTGTGCAGCTCATATCTGGGAGAGGAGTACAGTTCACGCTATTTAATCTTCGGCGAGTTTCCGGAATTTAATAAATATCTAAATAAGCATCGGTTCGTTCTTGTCAAGAAGGCAACTTTTTTTGACAAGGATGTCGGCTTTAATCTAATGGGCTTCGATACCGAAGCAATAGATGTAAGGATTCAAGAAAAATAAACTGGACAGTATATATATAAACAAGTTATATTTTCAGAGCTATATACATTCAGCTTTTGAGGTCATGAAGGTGGATAATAACTTTGGCTATTCACTAGAAGGAGCTGCCTACGAGCCAGAGGTTGAGGAAATAATTGCAGAGCCGAATTTCGAGACGTTAGTAGATGATTTACAGATTTTCCATAAAACTTACATATGTACACATTTCATTCACCAGCGAAACTTCTATCAGTCAAAGGAAATGCCGTTTCTATCACGAATCCAATCTCACACATTATCCTTTTTATACCAAGAATATTTGCCAACAAGAATGTCGCATTAACTTGGCCTATAAGATATGCAAATGTATTCCTCATTTTTATCCTAATCGCAGTAAGTGATTCGAATTTCATAGATTAGTATTGCTTGTATCTTATCTTATCTTTAACCATTTGTTAGTTGCCAAGCCGAAACCAGTTTGCACCTATAAAACACTTAAGTCCTGTTTTCCCAGGCATGCCGGTCAGTAAAGTATATCTGTGTACCATATGTATAACTGTTATAATATAGTTCTCATTTGTGTTTAGGTTACTTTCTGAAATTTTACGAAAAGAATGGTCATCATGAGAAACCGACTGAATGCTACTGCGAGCAAAACTGTATAGACGCTGTGATCAAGCTCAAAAGTGCGCTGGTATGTATCATAATTTATTATTACCTATTTATCCCCATTGAAAATGGGAAATCAAGATATAATGGTTTTTAACGTTATTTATTCTACATCACGGCAATGGGCTGAGCCGATTTAGTCCTGTCCGTCTTTGTGTTGCATCGATCTTGGAAGATAAGACACCTAGAGACTTGATATGTTTTTGTAGACCCGGGTTTGTTTCCAAAAATCTATCTCGATTTATATCTTTTTCGAAAATTAGGGATCAAATTATGTCTATATTTTTAGAGGTGAAGTCACCAAATTTAAAGTATTGATTCATGTGAATTTTATTGTATTTTTTTTTTAATCAGTAAATATCCTTTTGATATTTCCTATAAGTGGAATTAGAATATAACGACTCCGCTTTGACGTCCGTACAATTATTGCGACAAAAACTCTGGTAAGCTTATAAAGTTATACCGTCTTCCGGGTATGACAACGATCTTTGAGCGTTGGTATAATCGGATTCTACTGCATTTACTTTAAGTATTGCCCCTAAGTATTTCTATTAAATATTTATTCTAAGAGTTTTTTTCAAAGTATTTCGTCTAAGTATTTCCTCTTTAATGCTTAGAACGATCACACACTTCACATAACTTTACACCACTGCACACTGATACCCACCAGGCCTGGGCGACTAAAAAAAAAAGAAATATCTTTCACTCAAAGCCTAGGTCACGCTCAGGTAGGGATCGATGCACGATTATAAATACCAAATGAATACTGCTGCATACATATAGAAAACTTAAATGATCTTCAGAGAGACAGGGAGATAGACAGAGAAACAGACACGCATACGAACGAATATATGGCAAAATATCGAATTACCTTATAATACTGCTCAGGAATATGTATAGGTATGATAAGGCTAAATCGCTTATGTTCATTAATACTTATAATTTTTAGATGACGTAGAAAAACATATGTATAGGCGTGTTTATGTGCACTTGCTGTTTTTTGTGTAAGCAGAAAAGAACCAAAGACTTTTTAGAGGATTCAGGAGAACTTGTAATCGACTAGAACTTTAAAGAGTTAAAGATATTATAACGGTCTGCAAATCCTGTTAACAAAATTTAAAGCCAAAAGTCGTCGATAATTAATTTACCACGGTGTTACCTTAATGAATATCACCTCTTATGTGAAAAAGAATAAAATGAATGGGTATACCCTAGTCGGACGCTCCCCATGTTGTTACATGTTTTTAATATTTATTTACTTCATTATTATTTTAGGCTATGCGAGGCTCTAAACAGTTGCTTGGAAGTATGGGAAGTTCCGTCTCTATGAGCACTTGGCCAAGGAATCAATTCAAGAGACAAGTTATATTTTCCTTCACAGATCTGTTAGGTATGTCGCACACTGACATACATATTAAAACATGTATATAATATTATATATTTGTTACAGTGTCAATAGGCGGTACTGCCGGTCTTTATCTTGGATTTAGTGTCCTAGGCTTGGTAGAATTTATATACTTTTTTACGCTGCGCTTAGTTTGGCAATTACTTGGATATAAACTATAAATTTGATTATTGTCAGGAATTATTCGCTTTGCAATCAACCTGAAAACTAAATAAAAAATTGCAAAAAATATTTTAGCAAAGTAAAACAATTTGAAAATTGATAACGGTAAACCCAGCACACGTATACATATGTATGAACAAATAACCAACAAAAGCTTTGACCAAAACTTTAGCCTAGAAACTCAAGCGCCCAATACGAATTTATTTTCACTATTGCAATACATTCATATGTATGTATGTATGTATGTATAGGCTTCGCCACAGATGAAGTCTCTATAGAGGTGTACAAGGGTTAACTAGGGCAAGAGGTGCTTCAGGAGTTTAATAGTTTGATAAGCCAAGAGGTCCGCGTCTATAAGCAATAATAAAGACTTGTGTTTTGGAAAATATGTACAAACATACATATGTACATGCATACATACATACATATGTAGATGTATGAGTAGCCCACCTATTGATAACTTATTCAACAACAGCGCATATTGCAGTCGAAGTGGAGTCGCTGCGTCAACGGCACAGTTAGCAGAGCGCGCGCATATGCATGTCTTATTTGTATGTACATACATACATGTGCACAAAAGAAGCATAGAGTGATTGGAGTACCCACTCTTTGCAGGGTTCATGAAGTTCATCATCAGCTGTCTCACCGGAGGAACTCTTAATTTTCGCTTTCTTTGGCAATTGCTGCTACATACATACAACAATTAGCCTTGTTTATTGATTATAAATACATACATATGTATATAACTCAACACAATAATGTAATGTGCATATGTATGTAAATATGTAAATATGTATGTATCTACTCAAACATTGTAAATATCAAGTGGCGTCGCTGTTGCTATCAGCTGGAGTACAATACTATTTAATCGGATCATATAATTTATTCTATATACGAACTACTTAATATTCCACTTAAGACTGGTTGTGCTCTAAATTCAAGTCCAAGTCCAAATTGAGACAACGATTACAATTTATTCCGCATTTCTTCAATTCTTGCAATTCACCTTGTTGTCCAAAAGAGAAATTGCGAGAGAATAAACTAATACTGATAACGGTGAGCCCGACTGTAGAGAGAAAATATAGCAGCAGAATCACAATACACACTTTCATATGCAGTAGAGTGTGTTCTCCGAAAAGCATGAGCTCTGTTGCAGGTTTGCCATTTAAAATAAGTTTGAGTCCAGCCACGTCACAAATGTCACTCAAGTGTACTTAACGTTGTTTTGAGTTGAGAACATTTTGTGACGCCACTTCTGCTCACTGGCTACCTACGCAAGAGTCAATAGTAGGCATTCTCCCAGGCTCAAATGCATAATTTGTGTGCTCTCCCATAACCGCTGCATTTGTGTGTGTACTTTCATTGGAGAAGAACCTAAGCGGCTCAGTGTTCTTTGCGTATGTGATCACTCTCTCTCTCTAGGCTCTCTGCGTAGGCCTGCAATCTTAAGCAGCTCAGTGTGCTTTGTGTTGGCGTTGCGGTCGGTTGAACGTGACGAGATCACCGAGCGGGAATATTGAAGAACCACTCGGTATACATATACATACATTATAATTACATTTTCTTATCAGCTTAAATATACACCGAACTCACATTCGTAGGTTTCTTTATATTAAACAATTTAGTTAGCAATAGCTAATTGAATTGCAATGTTGCACAAATTCGGTGGTTGTCTTGCAATCATTTATTTAAGTAGCTTCATTGTGCATCATGTGGAGACCAGGAATATCAGAAGTGAGCCGAAATTGGATGCAGCCGCGGAGTGCGGCTATACAGTAAGTCTTTATATACATATTTTCCCTATTGTGTATTCTTCACTGATCATCACTGTGCATTTTTCATTAGCATTAATGTTGAAAAGCGGATGATTGATAAACATGCAAACATACTCACTTGTACATGCTTTCTATTCTGCTCAAGAATAGAATATACATATATTTTCTATTTAATATATTGTATATTATTGTGTTATAAAATAGCTATAGAGTACAAACACAACTAGTGTACCAGTGGTACGAATCAATGTGTTGAAAATGCAAACAAAAAACAAAAAAAGCGAACGTACCAGTTTTTCTTTGCATTTGCTACAGGTCACAGTTTTTTTTTGAATTTGTTGATTTTCGAGCGGTGCATCAAAATCAGCTGATCATAGAAAGATACATAATCGAAAATCAGAAATGACAACAGGAGGCCAGCCATTATTCAAGATTATACTTTTATAACTAAGTGTTAGACGGAATAATATGATATATACAAAGATAGACTAATTTTTTTCTTTTTTTAGTAGACCCTGCCTATATCTTAATATTAGAACCCCAAGAACGCTTAAATTAACAAATATTTTTATCTTAATATTCATTTCAAATTGTTTTTAGAAGTATTGGGTTTATCGCTAAATTAAGTTGTATAACATCCAGAGCTCAGGCACTGTATATATACTATTTATATAATATAATTCCTTATCGGTGCTGAAAGTCAAGTATATACAAGTATACATACATACATATGTACATATAAACAGTAACCAATTAAGTCGTTTGTTTTTCAAGACATACTTACGCACACATACATATATATTCTTTATATTGCTCATACATATATGATTTATCAGTTTTCTAGTTGAAATTATTAATGGAACTGTTTACTTTTTTTCAGAGCTGCCATCCAACGAAACCCAATATGCTGAATGTGCATCTTGTCGCACACACCCACGATGATGTTGGATGGCTTAAAACTGTTGATCAATACTATTATGGAAGTGAAACACTGATTCAGAAGGCCGGAGTGCAGTATATTATTGATTCCGTGGTGGAATCCCTTTTGAGAGATCCAAACAGACGATTTATATATGTTGAATCGGCGTTTTTCTTTAAATGGTGGAAGGAACAGACGAAAGAGCAGCAGGACAATGTGAAAATGCTGGTGAACGAGGGCAGGCTGGAGTTCATAGGAGGAGCTTGGAGCATGAATGATGAGGCTACCACTCACTATCAAAGTGTAATCGATCAGTTTGCTTGGGGATTACGGTGAGGTCCATCTGTATAATTGGCATTGTTTGCCTACATAGCTAATCTAATATGGTTTGCAGGCAATTAAATGATACGTTCGGACAATGCGGACGACCACGTATTGGATGGCAGATTGATCCATTTGGACATTCCCGTGAAATGGCTTCGATCTTTGCCCAGATGGGGTTTGATGGCATGTTCTTTGGTCGACTGGACTACCAAGATAAGGACGAACGACTAATGACGCAGAAGGCCGAAATGATTTGGCATGGATCCGAAAACTTGGGCAAGCTAACAAAATCAATTATTATTCCTTTCAAACGTGTATAAATTTACTCAATTATTTAATGAAATTCGTAGATGACAAAGCAGATCTCTTCACTGGAGCCTTGTACAACAATTACCAAGCACCGTCGGGCTTCTGCTTTGACATACTTTGCGCCGACCAACCTATCATTGATGGCAAGCACAGTCCCGACAATAATGTGAAGGAGCGCGTAAGTTCAAGTCCCTTGACTTCCTCGATCACTGTACTTATTGTCAGCCTGTATCCTTTCATATGAAACTTGTCCTTGTGTTTTGTCCTCTCACTGATTTACCCAATACTGCATCAGGTTGACACGTTTTTGGACTATGTCAAAGCTCAAAGCAATTATTATCGCACCAACAATGTCATCATAACCATGGGCGGAGATTTTACCTATCAAGCAGCTCAAGTTTATTACAAAAATCTCGACAAATTAATACGGTAAAATTATATGTGCTGCATATTTTTGGCATAATTGTGTTTGTTAACGAAAGCCCCTCATGTTGTTTGTCCCTGGGTTTTTCCTTGTATGAAAATGTAATTGGAGTAAATGCTCTCTGTGTATAGATCGATTCGTTCTTTGAGTTTGTCACTAAGATGGCCAAAGGTTATCGCACGCCCAACTTGCTTATAACAATGGGTGAGGATTTCCATTACCAGAATGCTGATATGTGGTATAAAAATCTGGATAAACTCATTAAGTAAGTAATGAGGGGCTTTCCTTAACCTTGAAGCTTAACCGTACCCGTTCAATCGTAGACACAAACTACAAGATTTGTAAATTCCCTGCAGGTATGCCAATGAGCGACAAGCAAATGGATCGAATATAAATTTGCTGTACTCCACGCCTTCGTGTTATCTTAAGTCTCTGCATGATGCTGGCATCTCGTGGCCGACCAAGAGCGACGATTTCTTTCCGTATGCATCCGATCCACATTCCTATTGGACGGGCTACTTCACCTCGCGGCCCACTCTGAAGCGCTTCGAGCGTGATGGCAATCACTTCTTGCAGACTTGCAAGCAGCTAAGCGCATTGGCTCCAAAGCGCTCGGCAGAGTTTGATCCGCATTTGAATTTCATGCGAGAGACCATGGGCATAATGCAGCACCATGATGCAGTCACAGGAACGGAGAAGCAAAAGGTTGCCCTCGACTATGCCAAGCGCATGAGTGTCGCTCTGCGTGCTTGCTCGACTAACATAAGATCCGTGTTGAATCAACTGTCTATTTCATCCGATAAAGTCAGCCCACAACCAACTAAGTTTGAATTCAAGACGTGCACTCTCCTTAACATAAGCAGCTGTGCCACATCCGAGCTGAACAATCGATTTGCACTGACGCTGTACAATCCACTGGCTCAGTCGACCAATGAGTACGTAAGAGTACCTGTTGCGGATTACAAGTATGTTGTAATCGACCCGGCCGGTAAGATACAAGTATGAGCCTTACCAGCAAACGATCCTCATGCAATGAATATACTTTTCTAGGTAAGAGACTGCCAACAACAGTGGTGCCTGTGCCAAAAGCTGTGACCAAAATTCACCATAGAAACTCAAGCGCCCAATATGAACTTATTTTCTTGGCATCCAACCTACCTGCCGTGGGATATAAGACCTACTATATCGAAAGGTCCGATTCGATTCCTATCAGTGGCAAACCTTCGCCTTCGCCAAAGAAAACTTCTAGTTATACTGTTATCGGAAACAATGTAATTATGCTTCTCTGCATTCTTGGTATTCTAATGCTAATACTTAATTTTCTTATAGAACATTAAGCTAACATTTGATACCAATGGATTCCTCGCTTACGCCACAGCAGATGGAATGACGCGCACGATTTCCCAAGAGTTTTTGTACTACATAGCTGCAACTGGAAATAATGCAGAGTTCTTAAATCGTTCGTCGGGTGCCTATATTTTCCGGCCTGACAAAAATCAAATACGCCTCGCCACAGATAAAGTCTCTATAGAAGTGTACAAGGGTCCACTAGTGCAAGAGGTCCATCAACAGTTCAACAGTTGGATAAGCCAAGTGGTTCGCGTCTATAAGCAGAGCAATCATGCAGAGTTCGAGTGGTTGGTGGGTCCCATTCCCATAGAAGATAATATTGGAAAGGAAGTCATATCGCGCTTTACATCTGACATTAAGTCTGATGGCATATTCTATACTGATTCAAATGGTGAGATATGGGTATAAAATTCTATACTATTATATTAATTAATTTGTTCTTCATCAGGTCGCGAAATGTTAAAACGTCGACGAAATCATCGTGAAACGTGGAACGTTAAGATTCACGAATCTGTTGCCGGCAATTACTATCCCGTGACAACGAAAATCGCCTTGGAGGATGACATCGCGCGTATGGCTATTCTGACAGACAGAGCTCAGGGTGGTAGCTCTTTGGAGGATGGTGTCTTGGAACTGATGGTACATCGTCGGTTGCTGCACGATGATGCATTTGGTGTGGGGGAGGCCCTGAACGAAACTGAATACGGCGAGGGATTAGTTGCGCGAGGCAAGCACCATTTGTTTGTGGGTAAATCCTTACAACGTCCCGAGGTCTCTCTAAAGGCAATCGAGCGTTTAGTGCAGCTGGAGACCTTGCTGCCCTCGTGGAAGTTTTTCAGCAATGTGTCCTATAGCTCGGATCAGTGGCTCACCTCATTCACAAACACAGTGAGTCTCTCTAACCTAATTACTATAATGATGATTATCAATCTCATTATACAATTCCAGTACAGTGGCATTTCAGCAGCTCTACCAAAATATGTGCACTTGCTTTCCTTGGAGCCTTGGCACGAGAAGGAGCTACTCGTCCGCTTTGAGCATATACTGGAGAAGAAAGATGGCACGCGCTATTCGCAATACGTTCAATTCAATATTAAGGATGTACTGGGTTCACTCAATATTGAAAATATACGAGAAACAACGCTGGATGGAAATGCGTGGCTAGACGAACATCGGCGCATGGAGTTTGTACCTGATCCCGAGGATGAGGCATACAACAATTATGGCACATTTAGGAAATCATCAAAGGCTGTTCATTTGCTATCTGCAGCGAAGCCAATGTTAGAAGCTCGGTACTCAAAGGAAACCCTTGAAGCTGGACAGCTAGGTGCTGAAAGCAACCGAATCAAACGCAGTGCCAACTCACAACATTTTACAATGCACCGAAAGCGCCCGCAGGTATCTGGCTCAGATAATTTAAACAAATCTATGCCGTCATCTGAACGTGATAAGTATCTCATAGAGCTTAGCCCAATGGAGATACGCACTTTTATCGTGTATTTGCAAAAATAGAAATGTAGAAAACATTCTAAAGCACAGAATAAATAATCAAGAGCAAATGAATATCATATAAAAAAGCAACAATTATAGATCAGTATATAATGCTCTGCAACGATCCTGTTAATTACAATTACTGAATGATTTAACAACGCTTGTTTCTTAAACTAAGTGTAATATTCTCCTGGTCCCCAGAGGCCCAGCTTGGCAGTTCAGTTTCATACTCCCAGCCAACTCCCTGCAATTGTACAGATAGGAATTAATTTGAATTGAGTAGTTTTATAATCAAGCCTACTTTATATTTCCACGCATGCAGGTACATAACGAGGTCCTCTGGGTTTGGATCCCGATAGTTCATTGTACACTCGATGCAGTGGGGATCTTTAGTTACTTTACTAGCATCAAAATGCATGTCGGCAGGTTCAAAACTAGTTTGGGTCGATATTGTAACCTAAAATATAGACATTACATATTTTCAGCTGCAGCAAATCACACACATATTCCTATAGCAATACCTTAGAGTCAAGTGCGGATTTAATTAAAGTTTGATTAGCGTCATTTGTATTGGTGGCAGCGACATCTGGATTTTTCGTAGTATCACAAGCTGCAATTTCGTTTTCAGTACCCAACCAATTTTCGGCATTGTGTATAGAAATTAAGTCGCTGATTAATTGATCGTCAGATTTTCCCCCAGTGTCTCCACCACGACCCTTTAATGGGCCAAATACTTCATGATTATATAACGGGTCGTTCACAATCGGATAGCCTGAATAAACATTAGTTGTCAAATATTATTAATTTTAAAAAAATTACAAACAATTTCGGCCTACCCAAATATTGTAAATGCACTCTGATCTGATGCATTCGTCCAGTCAGCGGTTTGCACTGCACAATGCTGTAATCTCCAGCTTGCGCGATTCTCTTGAATGTTGTTTTACAATCCTTGCCCCTCTTTGAGACTCTACAGACTCCAATTTTATAGCTAACTACTTGGATAGGTTCATTGCACTCGACAATACCACTAAAATTACAGAAACAGAAGATATATTTATATACTAATTATTACACAAATTATTGTAAATGATATTTCCCTAATCTTAAACATAACGATGATTATTTAAAGTCGCCCTCTTACACGATACTCATGCACTTAATTCTCGCATTCTCTTAATTTACATTCACTTCTCATGGCAATATAGTAATTTATTAATGTTAATACTAAATGAAGAGTATAGGCTAGCCCTCTAGGCGATTCGCAGAGGATTTTACATATTGCTTACTCTGGAAAGTGACCTTCCACACAGCAAACGTATTCCTTTTCAACCTGTCGATTTCGTATCTGCTGCTCCATTTGACGTGCTTTTTCCGAATTGCGTCCAAATAAAAGTAAGCCGGAGGTTAGGCGATCTAACCGATGTATGGTACGCAGATCCTTCAGATTGTATTCTTTGGCAAGTATAAATATCACCGTATTATGTCTGTAGCGACCACATGGATGTACCTAAATGTATTCATAGCAAATATTTAATAATGATACTAATACTGTATATGTATATATATTTATTTATATTATATTTTCATTTATTTACTTACTGGTATAGAGGCAGGCTTGTTCACAACTAAAATGTCATCGTCTATATGCACTATGGAAATTGGCTGCGCAGTAACTGGCACTTCATGTCTGTGTTATTGATGGATGAAATTGAATTTATTCCATATACATGATATATAAATATATATATATTCACCTGTGCACAGTGTTAGCTAGCAAATCATTGTGCTTTAGTCTGTAGTCAACCGGCACCTTCTCGTAGTTGACTGTCAGATTGCCAGCCTCAATGCTGCGCTTGTACTCCTCCGGAGGCTGGGCACGGAATTCCCGTGAGAATACATCCAAAATTCTTTCGCCCACCCAGCGGCCCTTTGTGAATGTGGTGAAGGTAAAAGAGTAGGGATAAACCTTTCGCAAGCCTTCAAATAGGACTAAGACTCAATCCACAATCCATAAAGAGGTGTAATTTCAAACTCTTACCATTTTCAATGTAATAAGAGGTCTCATCATATCGCTCTTCACTGAAGCCGGGACGTGTCAGTCTCAGATCCTTAGTTTCCAATTTCGGCTTCTTTGGCTCAGTGGCCTCTGCTTCATCGGAAGCCTTTCGCTTTTCGGGCAGCTGCTCCAGTGAGGCCTCGGCAATCGTGGCCAGCTTAAACGGAAATGAATAATGGTTTATATTTAACCAAAGATTTTGTATTTAAAAGCGCAGCCAAAGGAAAGCAGAAAAGCAGGATCAAGGCGCTTGCATGACACACTAAGACGCTAGGCATGTGCGAGAGAAGCAAGAAATGGGAATAAAACTCTTTTAACGGCAGGAAAAGTAATAGAGGGTTGTAACAAACCCAAATTGTCATCATAAAACAGTGGTCTGCATTCGTATCTTAGAGGAAGGCGGACACAATCACGTTTGCCGTACCCAGGGGGGACGTTCCGCGGGCGCGGAGGACTCTGCCGGGGAAGCGAGTAAAAACTGCATTCAAAACAAAGAAGAAGCTAGAATAATAAAACTCTTCGCCGTTGAGAACACCAATACTTGTGCACATTTGACATTCTCTATTTTAATGTCGAGACACATTCCTTATTTCAATAGCACTAACACAGAGAGCAGTGCACGTAGACGTGCATACATCAGACACAAACCCACATACATCACGGAGATTACATACCTACACACATACACACATAGCTACAGACATGCATGCATAGGTATTGTGGAAACTTTAAATGCAAGTGACACAATAGGCGCGCATAATGGAAGACAAAAACATTTAGAGCAATTTACTTTTAAGGAGCATAGCGATACCTACTTAAAAACAAGCCATAACAGAAAGACACAAATGCACGACTGAACGATACCGTGTGGTGACATTGCAACACCTGCAAGATCACGGCTAACAGATACTCTTTCGCTGGCCTACATCTGATTTAGCTTTTAAGGGGGAATCAGCTGGCGATACCCGGTCGAGGGTGCACAACTCGAAGTACCATGTCTGCTGCTACAACCAAATAGCACCGTGATTCACAGGTGCACAGGGTATGAACAGGAGGCAACACTGATAATTGCGGAAGCGTCAGGTTGGCCAACTTGACAAGGAGGCGCTGCTCGTCAGAGCAAACAAGTAGGAAAAACGACACGAAGCGTCGAAAGCACCCTTCAACAAAATAGCAAAAAGGAAAAGCAAATGAGAAATAATTATACCAAATCCGCGGTTAAAATATGAAGGTAAAGCGAGAAACAGCTTAGACAACCAACCAACCAACTAGCAGGCCGGTCGAAGCACGGACAAACGAAGGTAAGCTAGCTAAAATGTTTGCTGCGGTTAAGACAAAGCCAAGTACGGGGATTATTTAGTGGAGGTTAGCATAAGCCACATAATAAGCGGTCCTCGGCAGGGATAATGCTGTCCTGTGCCAGTGCGAAGCTACACGTGATTATTATTGATAAAAAGCGGTCTGAAATGTGCCAACCACTTCAAAAGCGCCCCACGGCCATAAGTTATTCAAAACGGATTGATGGGCTTTGCGACCATTTTACAAATTTAAATCCGCGCTGGAATGCACATAAATATGCCAGTACGAATATGGAATGTCAGTGAACAATGTGTGTATAGATGAATGGACCGCCGCGTTTGAGCTTTGAAGCACATTACACAAACATAGAGATGCATTGAAATAGCATTATAATAGAGAGCATTACAAAAGGGCGCCGTTGTAATTAGTATTTCCTGTTCTCCACATTGACAATGACCCTCGAGCTGGCTCTGATGTTACTTCTCGTTTGTCTCTGAAGTTGTTTGCATTTACTATGCTAACCGTCCTACCCAGATGCACTTCAAACAAAGTGAAGTATATCATGACATAGCGGCCTAATTATGAACTTAAATCAACTTAACTTTAAGGCTGACAAATGCGAAGACTTGACTGTCTATTGCATAATTTCAAGCAAGCGAAGTTTTGCATTTCAATAACATATGTATGTATGTCAGATTACTTTAATCCTGCAAAAAATCAGATTCATAAAATTCGGAAGTATTTGAACTCTATAATTCTCTCTATTTACCTATATCGGGACTATTAATCAAAAACTTAACAAAAAACCTAAACATCTATTATGGTATTACCATACCATAACTATATAATAATATAATATAAAACTAGGCAGATGTAGTTTTTCAAACGCTCGATTGCATCAATTTTATTCACAGTTTATTATATACCATCCATGAGATACTCTGAATACTATATTTCTTATCACAATTTAGTTCAATTTAATCTATAAAGTAAACACTATTATATTCGATCAATTGAATGGAAATGGAAGCATATGTCAATGACGACTCTTCATCACAAAAGATTGACTTAGTGATTAACCTATTACCATAATATAAAACTAAAAGCTAAATAATTTGCGCTTACTTGGCTGCCGCAATCTTCACTCGCTTCGTAGGTCCACACACCATCGGTAGGTTTGATCTCCTGAGACTTGGTAGCAATAGGGGCAACAGATTCAGCGCCCAATTCAGCGGCTAATTCAGCTTCACTCGTGGAAGCAACGCCGGTGGTGTGTAAGTTGGCGCTAAACAGAAATATGTTTTCCACATCAACAGAGGCATCGCCGTGCTGGGTTTGCACATGGCGCAGAGTCTTGGGCAATGTCATTGTTTGCCAACACAAAAATGTGTTTTTTGATTTCTTAACTTGATGTTGTGCTTTTAACAAGCGCCTCGAAATGCACAAATTAATGCACTGAAAACAAAAACAAAACCATCAACACGTGTGCGCTAGCAAAACGAATGCATAAACTGATGCAATTTAAGGGTATTTATGAAGCACTATTTTAGACACCATGCATTGATCACTTGCCAGGCGAAATGTATTATCAGCGTAACGCAAATACTTCATGAAGTCCGTAAGATATAATTTTGCCTTATAAAATACACAACAACGAGCGCGACCTTACTGGTTCGATTATTTTTGCTGCACGCGCCATTTGACTAATCGAACCAGC